CAACTGGCCGGTACTGTAGGGGTAATTATCTGTTGGTTCCCAGAGTCTGGCAGACATACAGGGACAAACTAATGAAGGCTATTTACATTGAAACCCATTAAATCAAAGTTAATAATAACATGGTTATAAACAATAAGAAGAGAGCCTCTTAACAATCATGTTATGTTTATAATATTTACATTTATAACAACATTTTACACTAATAAACTTCAACAATGAATAAGGAGTAATTGTGTGCTACCTTTTTCATCATCAGATGATGATGCTGGTCTTTTTGTAGATCTTGGTTCTGTAAAATACAATAAAACACAAGTAATTTTCATCCAATAAATTACCTAATAATTACAAGCCATTTTCAACATCGCCAATTAATCGTATCAACAATTTTAGAAAGGATTCTAGTTTACCAAATTTGAATAAATTGTGACAAACTTGATTGATGAATTCAACAATTTTACTCATTCTAAACTATGTTTTCACTATTAAACATTACTAAAGAATAAATTCTTCTGTTTTCAGGACAGGTCCAGAATTATGATTGGACCACTATATTAAAAGTCCCTATCCCCCTAAAAGATCTCAAAAAATTCTAAGATGGAATCATCCAAAATGGCCACCAATTTCAATTTTAATTTTTTAAGGTGCTTTCCCTTGCCAACAAGAGGGGGTAGATTTTTTTTTTATTTCTATTCAAAAAATGAAAGTTTTCCTCACCTGCAGAACAACAAGAAAACATACTTGTTAATAACATGGTCACAGACCTTTACATTTAATCCTGTTTCGGTTAAATCAGGCAAATTCCAAATGTTCACCATTATATAACAGTTAAATGTGGATGATAAATCAATGATGACCTCACAATGATGATCCTAACAATTTTTCAGATCAAAAATTTCTCAATTATGTCGAGAAGTGAATTATTTTATTAACTATTTTTTTTATTGTGCACTACTTTATTTTGTGTAGGGATCTATCCCTTTTGTTGTTTCACCCATTTGCGTAGGTGTATATTGTCTTAGCGCCCTTGTGATTAGGCTAATTAGTAGCGCTTGGTGTAAATTGAGACCAAGGAGTCAGTGGATCGCTTGCATTGATTGAGTCAAGACGTACTGAGAAATGCACCGTACAGATAGACAAGAAACTTTGCGATCTAAATAGAATGATCTTTGTTAACTGATAACTGGTATGTTATATATTTGATTGTATTAATTACTTATATAGTGATTGAGCAAGTTCTGCTTGCAAATTTTATCGTAATGTTATATATTTCCTAGGCCCAGAATAATCTTTATGTTAAGTTCGACGCCGTATAGAATGATGTCTAGCGGGCTACATCGGGAGAACTCTTGATCGTAGGCCTAGTAAGGCTTGATATTGATTCATTGACAGTAGGTTAAACTTATATGAATAATAATATTATTTCATGAATGTTACCGTTCTAGACTATTTAAACCTTTATAGACATTATCATGTGCCTTTTATGTTGAGTAAGTTAGCTTTCTTTGTTCGGTTAGCAGGTAGATAAGCGTCTGTAAGCACAGCGTGGTTCCATTAGTTTATCGCAGCAAACCATGTTTCTTTTATCGATAAGATTTACCATGTGTGGTTGTTGTCATTAATTCTTGTGCTATAGAGGGCGCTCTAATATAGACATTAGACAAAGATGGCTGCGCCCACGATAATCGTAGTGAAGCATAAGTTGACATGTTTTAAGTTGTATTTTATAGTTAATCTTATGATTATGAATTTACAATGCCTATAAACGATATTTATTGTTTAGTCAATGTTAAAAGATGAATATTTAGTAGATAAGATGATCACAGATTGTATGCACTGTAACTGTAATATTACAATGACATATCGTAAGTGATTAATTATATGCTATAGAGATTTGCTAGGTCTCTATAGATTCTTACACTACTTGAGATACTATATACGACAAAGTGGACATACTCACCATTCACTAGCGGATGAATTAACACTCTAAGTATCGGTGATAAGTAGGTCTGTATGTTATCTTCAAGGTCTTCGTCGTGTATCTCCCGTTCTCTTGGTTTTCTCCGCACTCCGTGCGGGGTTCTCCATGGGGTCTTCCAAGGGTGCGTGGATTTCCCCCGGTGATTGGCTGCAACGTATAGATGACCTCATTTACAACCAATCACCCTGTCTCTTATACACATCTAGATGTGTATAAGAGACAGGTATCGATAAACATTCGGACATTATAATCTTCAACCGTCGCAATGTTCTGGACGCCGCGACCGCTCTGTGGAGGCGTTGGAGGCTGTTATACGCCTCTCGCAGCGCTGTCGTCACCCTATCTTCCACCGGCAGTTGAACAGGCGCTTGCCTGGGCGGGGCCTGAGACCCGACCACGGCCGGAGCAGCACCGGCGGCCGAGTAGGTAATAAACCCTCGACCGATGGCCCTGCCCCCCGTGGAGGGTGCCAGAACCCGCCCACGACCGGTGTCTGAACTCCCCACCGATGTAGATAGGGTCGCGCTGCTGCGCTGCGACGTGGCATCGGCAGCGTCCCGGCGCACCGGAGCCGCTGCTTCACCCGCGCCAGCAGGCGTTACGCTGCTGCACTGCGACGTGGCGTCGGCAGCGTTCCGGCGCACCGGAGCCGCTGCTGCGCTTGCGCCAGCAGACAACCGAACTGGCACTGGAGGCCCTGTCATGGCAACACCCGCAACTGCAGCGGCAAAGCTTGCAGGGCCGGCTCCCGCAGGAGTACGGGCCGCTGCGACTGGAACATCCTGGAATCGGATATCCCAGCTTCCAAAACCTGAGGCCGGCTGACGTTTGGCCTCAAAGCGGCTTAGGGCAATTCCCAGGGTAGTTGGTTTACCCGATGTGGCCTGCCACGGGATCGAGCAGGTGTAAATACCCTGCTTGTCCGGGCCGGCCATCACCGTGGCGGGCCAACTTGCCCCTCCCAGGCCGTCGCTGGCGTACCAACGGGCGTCCCGGCTAAGAGGGGTCTCACCCCGGTCCCCGATACGTATGAGAAGTGTGGTGGTCCACTCCCCCTGACGGACCTTGGCCTTGAAAACCCCACGGTCGTCAATGGGCCCTGACTTGGTCAGGGTCACATCTTCCCAAAAGGAAAGAGTGGCCTCTGACGCTTGCTGAGGGAGTAGTGGGGGGTCCTGGAGTGATGGAGGGGGTGATGCCAACAGGAGGTCCTCGGCCTCCCCTATCTGCAAACCCTCCATGGCTGGAAGGTGGCCCCCATGGGAGCCAGACTCCACAGCTGCTGGCATTTCAGTGCCTGCCTGAGGGCCAGCCCCCGTAGGAACTGACTCACCAGACGGCTGGTCCTGGGGGGTGGTGAGGGGACTGAGCCCGCCTCGCCCACCTCCATAGGCTCTTGTCTTCTTTTCGGTCATTATCTGTAAGACATAATAATTAACAGTAAGTAAGTGAGGATGCGCCTCCGTGGATGACTGGGCCAGCAGGTGATTGATAAACGGCCGGGGAGGGGGAAGCCGCAGCTGGACCCCCACCAACCGTTACCCCAACCTGCTGAGCACAGGGATCCCTCCACAACAGGGAATTGGGTGCAAAATCTACATCCAGGCAGCGACAGTCTAGAGGGTCCTATACCGCCTGTTGCAGTTCGCGCAAAGTCCCAATATTCCCTGCAGTTTTCCTAAATTGGATAAGGCGCGAGATCATTTCCGGGGTAAATTCCTCCGAAAAATGACTACGCTTATAAGCATAATATACCGTAAAGGTAAAAGCTAAAGTGTCATCGAACGCCTGCAAGAAGCGCACCCGGCGAACAGGAAACCCACTGACGCTCCCAAAGCCACAACCCAGATGGTAATAGGGTATAGCTATCATCAACAAGGCCAGGGATACTCACACAGGTGGGACCCTACCCGCCAAGCCACAACACTAACTACAAATACGATCCTAACTAGATAGCTACAAGCCTACACAAAACTAACACAACATGTTTATAATAATATAAGACTACACATGCGGAAGAGTATAGATCCTATAATTATATGCCCAGTTATTTGGCATATGGGTCACATGCAAATTAAATATGGGTATGCCCATATGTAACTGCCCACATATTTGGCACATGGGCTCCATTTGGATTAAATATGGGCTTCCCATATTTACTTGCCCATGTATTTGGAATATGGGTCCCACATATATTATTTGTGGGCATACCCATAAGTATTTTCCCAGATATTTGGCACATGGGCCCCATACGAAATTAATATGGGCATACCCATATTCAACTACCCAGGTCTTCGGCATGTGGGCCCCATGTAGATAAATATGGGCATGCCCATATGTATTTTCCCAGATATTTGGCACATGGGCCCCATGCGGATTAAATGTGGGCATTTCCATATTTATCTGCCCATGTATTTACCATATGGGGCCCATGTACTTTAAATATGGGCATTCCCATATATTTGCCTATATATTTGGCATATGGGCTCCATATGGGTAAACCATGGGCAAGGCCCATATGTGATTGCCCAGACGGATCCCATAAAGGAATAATATGGGGTAGCCCATAAGACTTTTCCCAGATATTTTGCATATGGGCCCCATGTGGGATTGTTACCTGGGAGTGGAAGGCGCTGGAATGGCGGCGCGATTGAAAGTGATGGTAGCCTTGATAACTTCCCATCCCTGTCAACTAACACACACCAGACACAGATCACATTCCAAAATAACCGAAAACTATAGCTAGGCTATCCTAAATAACCTGACCTCTTACCAAGCAGACAATGCGGCCCACAGTAGCAAGTATCTCAGATTATTTAGCGTGATCGAAAAATACGATCGGCGCGGATTGAATAAGCTAATAAATAACTAAAAATGTGCATCGAACTGCCGACTGTCAGTTGCGATACGAAATAATAACAATAACAATAATATAATCCTATCTACACCTAACCTACACCTACAAATCATAAGGATGCCAATATATATTAAGGTCGCATATTTTCCGGTAACCAGCATGAACACGAGCATACTGTGTTGAACCGTTCTGGAATCACAGGCCCAGTGCGTTAATATACAAAACGCTGTACCATGAACACGAGCATGGTCATGGTCTGTAGGCAGAACGGACCAGGTCACGAGCCTATACGCCCAGTCCCGTATCTCTGCCCACTAAAATAATTAATCTGACTATTAGGAAATTAAAACGTATCTGCCTAGCAGTATACAAATCCAAAGACGGTAGCAATAGTACGTCCAGCGAACTCGAGAAGGAAACGTAAACGTCTCACTACCCGAGGCCGTTGGATGAGGCGCGAGCCGTGGAGCTGTGCGTGGCTGTTGGAAATCCATCCAGCCACGGCGCAACACGCACGCTAAAACTAATAAAAAAGTTTCCCTCGTCGCCATTATAGAGATTTGCTAGGTCTCTATAGATTCTTACACTACTTGAGATACTATATACGACAAAGTGGACATAGTCACCATTCACTAGCGGGTGAATTAACACTCTAAGTATTGGTGATAAGTAGGTCTGTATGTTATCTTCAAGGTCTTCGTCGTGTATCTCCCGTTCTCTTGGTTTTCTCCGCACTCCGTGCGGGGTTCTCCATGGGGTCTTCCAAGGGTGCGTGGATTTCCCCCGGTGATTGGCTGCAACGTATAGATGACGTCATTTACAACCAATCACCGGGGCAGCGGCACGTCAATGCATACTGTTGTCTATACGGGCATTATATTGTAATGTGTTCATTTAATAGGTTGTTTACATTGAGAACATGTGCTTATCGAGGTTCTATTGACACGTTACCAACGAGATCAGAGCATTTCAGGTATTATTGTTAATTGAAGATATTATATATTTTTATAGGTGGTTTAAAATGGATATGAAACCATTTTCAAAAATCCAATGAATGAAGGTTTTGGAATCCTTGGGTAGTCAATAAACCAGTCACAAAATACTAACCTTGAACAATTTGTTGAATTTGAGAAATTAATAAAAACATTTGTAAAGTAATTTCTCCGAAAAATGGCCGATATGTCGATACGCCATCTTTGTTTTCATACGCATTCTAAACCCACTGCGATCGTTCAGATAATTTGAAACAACCGCGTTATATTCCCGACTGTAAATGATTTGTGATTGGTCAATCAAATTGCACTTTGACACGATAATCGCCGACGACAAGTAAACAAACAAGATGCCGAACTGTTGTTGTGTATTCGGCTTCAATAGAACGCAAATAAGTCACCCAAAAGTATCGTTTTTCCTCTTTCCCAAGAAAGATAAAAATATAAAAACTTTTAACAA